GGGAGAGGAGACTGGGCTCTCTCTGTCCCGCAACTGTAGCTGCCGGTGGAGGTCCACCCACCGTGGCAGCTGACCGTCACCCTCTGCCTGGTACAGCAGAGTCTTGAATACTAGACTCCTCACGAACTTCACGGATTTCTCAGCTGGATTAGGCCCATAGAAGTTCAGCCGCAACCACATCATACGGTCAAATTCCTGTACAGAGTATCTGTACTCCACTGCTGGTTCCATTCTGTTGCTGTCAGGGTCGCTGTACTGAGACATGCGTTGCCCTCAAATTGTAAAATCCACGGAATGGTGTCTCCTGTAGCTGTCCTTCTGGCTGTAGGAACGATCCCGCCGCTTGCCACCAATTGTAACGGACCGTTTTGCACAAAAAGGGAAAAAAACGCTTAGACGATAATCCCCTTTCAGAGACAGGCACAGCTACTGTAGAATCACCAAAACTCACGAACTGAATACAAGTGAATGCTCCAAACTCCCGAACTGCATACAAGTGAATGCTCCAAACTCCTGAACGGCATACAAGGGAATAAGGTAGCACTCCAAATACACGAACAGGAACCATACGAATTGCTGCTACCAGACGAACAGGAAAAGCTCCCAAGCGGCTTACACTCCTGGCAATCAGTCCTTAGCAGCATACAGTAAATCCCCCCAAGAACGAGACAAGGCTCTGTGTTGAGGGTCAAGCAGTGGTCTGAGGTGCTGGCACACCCAGCCTGGTTTTTATTACAGTCTTGCAAATACAAGACCGTCCACATCGAGGTATAAAATATCCAGTAACATATTAGTTACAACCCACAGATTCCCTCCCCCTTATCCTGAGAGGTAACCCAATACACATACCTTTTACCACAATGCATCCTGGCTTCCTCTCCTCTACCCTGGAGATAAGTGAGAAGTAATTCAATTATCTCCCAGGACAGGGACAAGACTCCATTATGCACATGGTGACACAAAGACAGTAAAACACTTTAAAATACATAAAGTCACATTTGTTACATAACACACAGACATTTAACATATCCCCAGATAGCTGGGATCTGAGCGCACATTATTAAGTGAATGGCGCTCAGACCACACGAATACAGTTTAATCGCCATGGAGCCAAAGTCTTTACAGTCAGTTTCATACGAATGGGCTCCATGGGATTCCTATCTGGGGTATAACACATTCAAACAAATCTACCAAACCCCAGGCAGAAAAGCACGAATGAAGCTTTCCTGCAGGTAAAAAAGATGTCTTTTAACAGGGGGCCACAGTCCAGAGGCAGCAGGCGAGCAACCAGGCTTCTCCAATGCAATGTGGCGAGATTGGTCTCGTCACAACGACACCTTTGGTTACCTGGGACTCACACTGCCTCTGGGGAGGAAAGATGACACCTTCGGCTCCCTGGGACTCACTCTGTTGCTGGGGAGGAAGGATGGCACCTTCGGCTCCCTGGAACTCACTCTGCTGCTGGGGAGGAAAGACGACACCTTCGGCTCCCTGGGACTCACGCTGCCGCTGGGGAGGAAGGACGACACCTTTGGCTCCCTGGGACTCACGCTGTCGCTGGGGAGGAAGTACGTCACCTTCGGCTCCCTGGAACTCACACTGCCGCTGGGGAGGAAGGACGACACCTTTGGCTCCCTAGAACTCACACTGCTGCTGGGGAGGAAGGACGACACCTTCGGCTCCCTGGGACTCACGCTGCCGCTGGGGAGGAAGGACGGCACCTTCAGCTCCCTGGGACTCACACTATCGCTGGAGATCTGGGTTGGCTGTCCAGCCTCCCTATAGGGCCGGTAGAGAGACCTCGGTCCCATCTCTACCTGCCATCTGGAGGTCACCCCAGGACCAGTCAACGAGGTCTGGTTCTGCTTGTCGGGAAGCTGCTCCAGCTCCCACTCCCTTGTTACCAGGTGGGTCATGTCTTTGCTCACCTCGCATTCGTCAGCCCAGACATACATGCCAATACGGTAGTCGTAGATGTCCCAAAACCCTCCATGCTGCCAAGATCAATGTCGTCCTCCAAGGTATCCCATAATAAACCCGGGCCATCATAATCACCACCCTCCGGTAAGTCGTGCTCGGCCGTCCAGGGGTAAGTCGAACGGTATGCCACCAGAGGGCCTGGTATGCGTTGTCTAGCCAGATCTCTCGCCATACCACGGTCTCTAGTCTTGTCACCCACTCATCCAGGGGCTGCTCTCCCAATAGATACATCCGCATCGCAGATTCCCCCAATAAGAGATGGCACTCCAAATTGAGGATGAAGTAGAACTGACTGTACTGGCACATACAGCCTCTTTTATTCACATTCTACAAACATAGTACTGCCCACCGGGTTTTGAAATACAACCAATCAATCCGTACAATACACACAGACACTCCCACACAAAATCCTCCCCTCTGCCTGTGATGATTACTGAACACAATGGTTAATATAATTATCACAGGCAGAGAAATACAGTATTATAAAACATATCACAGGGACCCCAAAACATGCAATAACCCCATAAAATATATATGTAGAAAGGCCATTAGGCCTGAATTTGTGGGAGGAGTAAGTCCCCTACTTAAACTCCCAGCCCCTACTCACCGCTGCCGCTCAGCTGATTGTCCAGCACTTCCGGTCCAGCTTCCCGCCAGAACTGTACCTTTTTCCAGCAGCCAGACGCCCTGTGCAATCCTCCGTCCGAGGTCCTTCCACTCCGTTTCTCTCCGGTCGAGGTACCCGACTTCCGGTCACGAGACCGGCGCGTTCACGTAAGCAAGGCGGGGGAATTAGCGTTCGCTATTTCCCCGCCGTTCGGGCCTAAAAACGTAGGGGTAGGCTCCCTCTTTTCGCATTTTCACGAATACACGCTTTTCGTGAATATCTCCATTCGCGCCAAAAAACTCACGAACGTTCGGCTCATTTCGCTATCATTTAAAGCATTTTCGTACGGAAACTACCGAATATATATTTCATGTTTAAGCTCATTATTATCTGTATTCACTTTTCTGTTCGGTCATTTCAGCACCTAACTATTCGTATGGTAAAATTCACGAACACCATCTTACTAATTTACATGCGGTTATTTCTATTCTTCTAAGCTAAGCTTGCATTAGTTCTAATCACACTATCCTACTATTATTTATTCCTTCTCATCAGTTTTGGTTACATTATCTGGTTAACTACCAGCCCTGGGTTTTCCTACCTGGTTAAACCATTTAAAGTATTTTTCTGTAATAAACATAATATTTTACTATGGTTCATAACTTCATACGTGTCTAAATACAAGCTATACCATTCTTTCCAAATAACACTCAGATAAGTCATTTGAACTCTATTTACAAGTTATACCCATTACACATAATCCGTACTATTCCTTGCACATAAATCACGCTGTCACATTTTGGCTTTTACAGATTGCATTGGTCTCTTGCTTTTCTGCATAAAGTTGTTATTTCAAGGTCCTTTTATTACAGGAACAGGTCAGGTTTTATCTATTATCTTCACATCTATTGCTAAATATGGAATTTGTCTTGGTTAAACCCTTAGATCCTGTATTTATCTAAGCTTCCACCGTTTCTACGCAGTTAACCTGCCGCGATTAAACAATCTCTGTACTTAAAACCAAGGTATAGTTCACTCTCTTTACAATACTAGACCTCACACGGTCTCAACTCCATTACTACCTTCCCTCAGGCTTACGCCCAGGATACGTTATCTCTTTACTACTTGTCTACACAGACTTTCGGTCATACGGCCATCAGGCTCAGAAGACACCAAAAAATCTGACCCGGTACTCAGCCATACCTTCAGGTACTTACGTCCTTACTCAAGTACGTCCATTCGCTACCCATAGGCCTCATTCTGCCTTCTCACTCATATCCAAAATCATCCCATTCCTACACCTTTAACCTCCCAGATCCCTCAATGCAGGATCTCACGTGGTGCCCCTAACAAACCTTCTCCCAATACTATTCATACGACATCACGATACGTATAAACACATCAACATCTGTCTTAAACCCCCAGGATTCTTCCTCAAAGACAACATTAAGACAAGACTCTCTACACTTATCAGGAGGCTCCAGATACTATTTGCGACCAGTCAAGGTTAGTATCCGCACACCACTCCAGTCCTCTAACTTTACCCTTAAGCATACAATCGAACTGGCTATACGGCACAGGCTAATGCCTTAGCCCACCCTATCAGGAAATCTGACCCCGCAAGGCCTACCACCCCCACCCCACCTCAACATGGAGGTACGGCCCCACGCCCAAATCATAGTTATAAGCCTCGCATGCCTTACTACAGTGCTCTAGTTAGGGCCTCACCTGTCACGGCCACACGTTTTGATTTCTCTTATCGTCACCTAAAGGCCAACATCCCGCCACCACGTCTGTGGCACCTACGTCATAAGCCAAATCATAGGTAGAGCCTCTCACCGCCACTTGGCATTAGCAGGGCCTCACCTATCCAGTCATTCATAGTTAAGTTTTTCGCCTCGGCATCTAGTATTAAAGTCCAGTTCTTCCAGACATACCACGCCCCATACCCCCCCTTCTTACCTCACTCCCCTTCTTATATATCTTTCACATAATCATTCCTTTTTAGAATGTCCCAAGAACCAATTCCAACCGAAGAACCGATAGAAGAAACACCATTCACGCCAATCAGACCCGTGTCTCCAGGCGAATCACTTACGCTTTCAACCCCCACGTCCTTGAGAGCATGGACTATTCCCAAAATCACGGCCGAACTTAGGCTCAGGGGAATCCCTGCGGATAGGGCATGATGTTCCGTTAGCTGGACATCTAGGGTCCCGCCGCACAGCCTATAGGATCTCGCAGAATTTCTTTTGGCCAAACTTTAACCAGGCTGTGCGGATGTACTGCAGCACGTGTGACACATGTCAATGGGTAGGAAAGCGGGGGGACCACCCTAAGGCTAGGCTATTATCGATGCCTATTATAGGGGAGCCCTTTGCCCGCATAGCCGTTGACATCGTGGGTCCACTGGCCAGGGCTAGTCCATCAGGTAAGAAATACGTTCTTACTGTGGTGGACTATGCCACCCGCTATCCAGAGGCAGTAGCGCTGTCTAACATAGAGGCAGAGACGGTTGCTGATGCCCTGGTTAGAATTTTTACTAGGGTCGGGTTCCCTAAGGAGATCCTCTCTGACCAGGGAACCCAATTCACCGCTGTGCTCACCCAGCAGCTGTGGAAGGTGTGTGGCATTAAGCCGTTACTTAGCTCACCCTACCACCCACAGACTAACGGTCTCTGCGAGCGCTTTAACGGTACCCTCAAACAGATGCTGAGGACCTTTACAGACACTTGCAGAGACTGGGAGAGATTCCTGCCTCATCTATTATTTTCATAGAGAGGTGCCCCAGGAATCTACTGGGTTCTCCCCCTTTGAGCTGCTGTATGGGAGAAGGGTCCGCGGACCCCTAGATCTCATTAGAGGCCACTGGGAGGGGGAGACGGAGCAGGAAGGGACCCCCATAGTGCCATATGTTCTGGAACTCCGGGACCGCATGGAGAAACTGTCCCTGATGGTAAGGGAGAATCTCCAGGTGGCCCAGGGGAGACAGAAGAGATGGTACGATCAGGGTGCCCGACAGCGGGTCTTCCAGGTTGGGCAAAAAGTATTTGTGCTCAAACCTGTGAAGGCCAACAAGATGCAAGCATCTTGGCAGGGCCCGTACAAGGTAGTGGCACAGATCTGCGACACTACTTATTTGATAGCCAGCTGT